TTAGCGCTCTTTTATTTCAACCCGGGGATTCCCGAAATTGCTCGCAGCGATAGGTTTCCAAATATGTACATAACATATACAATACAGGGTAGTTGCATTTTTTGTTTGGTGCGCTACAAATATATTGATAGTAGTGATTTCAAAGAAGAGCAAAACAGAACTTTTGATGGCGTTTGTAAAAAGGAGTTTGACCACTATAACTGAAATTATGGACCAATTTGTTGAAAATGATCCAAATGTTGACAGGAGTTCAAAAGCAAGATGGGGTGTTACAGATGCTTTATCCACTTATCAACAACTGCTAACAGAACGCAAAAAGAAAAAGCAGACTACATTAGATGCCTTCTTGACAAAAAGGCAGAAAATTGGAAACACAGAATAGACCGAATGATCTGACCGACTTGGAATTTTATTTGTTTTTATATGTATATATTCGTTTATATTGTTTTTATTTTTGTAAGAAATAATAATTATTAAATACCTATACAATTTTCAATCCTGCCCTAACCCCATTATTTACTTGTTAAAAATATCCTCGTTTAGGGCTGTTTCGCATTATGCTCTACTTTGATGGAACATATCCTACGCGTTATGCAGGGTCATACTGTGTGTGTGTATGTATGTATATAAGTGTATATATATATATATATATATATATATAAATATATATATATATAAATAGTTAAAAAGGCTCAGACAACTTACAATCTGGAATTATAATAATGAGTACATTCAAATTAATTTAGTATTAATTCGCTGATGTCACTTTAATGGAATTAATATCTCTTTGTATATATATAATGCTGGCATAAAAGCACTTAAATTTGCTGATAATGAAGTGATAAGTGCACTGACATTGAAACAATTATTATAAGATATGTATGTATTAAAGAAACTGTACTTATATATATATATATATATATAATTTTTTTTTGTCTCCACCAATTCACTATTTTTATCAGATAAGTCCGTCTTTGTACTCTTCTTTTCTTAAGAACTCTGTATATACAAGCAATATTTTTAAATAATTAATTAACAAGCTCTCATACCTAACTAAAATGTTAATCAAAGATTCATTAAATGTAAATCTTCCATTGAAATTTGGCCTTGAAGAATTCAATGTTAGATGTATGATTAATGTATCAGATTGCTACAAAAAGCACATTTAAAACTGTTAAGTCATTTATGAAATTGACAAACAATTCAGACATTGCCAGACTCTGAACAGACAATCTTGATTCTCTCAGTCTGTATTGTTGAGAGCGACACTCTAAATTTTACTAATAAATGAGTAGATTCCAATAGGTGATAAATTATAATAAGTCACATTGCAGAATAACTATTTATAAAAAAATAATATTTTTTTTTTTATAAATAGCCAGCTTGCATTTATAACTTACTCTTATGCATCTTGAATCTTATATAGTGAGGTACACACAATTAAATTTTGATAAAATATAAGTATCTTGATTTTTTTTGACAAACTAATTATATAAAAACAAAACTACTGCATGAATAAACAATTGTAATTTCACATAGTTTATTGGGTGTTTTATATTTCAATAAATAAAAATAGATAACAATTACGTCTACATATAAAAAGCAAGAGTAAATAAAAATCTGTTCTATTTATTGTCCAATTTGTTTTAGAGTCTAAATACAATGAATGGACAAACTTAGACGTAAGCAAGCTGTGAGCAAGGACACGCTGATTAGAGACCACTGTGATATAATTACCTAGCAAACCTCTGCTAATCATTTAACGCAAATTATCTAATAACAACGCACATATAACCTACTGTATGAATAGTACAAGTTATTGTTGATAAAGAATATGCAAATGCTACCTTGTACTATTGTAAAAAAATAAAGGAAATTACTAAAAGCGCTATTTTATGTTTTATTATGAAATTCTTCACTTCTTTCATAAAATGATGAAAAAAAGATAATATTTTAAGCTCAATATTGGAACAGGCGACGCATGAGAAAAATCAATAATTGCACCAATAAACAAGGTGGCGTTAGAAAGTGCGCTTTTTATTTATTAAAGATATAGAACTATTTACTCTGACTTTTTTAAAATTACTCACTGAAACACAGACATACCGTAATAATTGTATAAAATATTTGAAAACCACTAGCCGGTATACTCACCCATTATGTTCAACTGCTTTACTGTGCTCGCTAATCAAACAAATTGATCAGGATCTCATTTCAATTATCATTTTAACACATATTGCACTTCACAGTCTTTTAAAGTCAATTTACTATTTTATAATTCAAATGAAAACAAAAAATTCCAATACACGGCGCTCCTATTTTTTCGCCGCAGGCAAAGCAAGGCAAGCAAGACAACCAACCAACAAAATCAACTGTCAGTCAAGACGACCGATGAGGGGGGCGCGCGCGTGTGAGGGAGCTAGAGCGAAGAGCGAGTAGGTAAATTGCGGGCGTACCTGTGCGTTCCGATTTCAATTTTTTAGATATAAATGCATTCACATAATTTTATTTTTATCAATGACTAGTGACCCACCCCGACTTTGGACGGTTAGATAAAAAGTTAAATTGGTATTTTTACTTAGTACTTTACTTGGATACGAATAGGTGTGATGAACGTAGTGAGTGAACAGCCTTACGCTTAATATTGCTTCAAGTAACACTCCTAACTTGGAGCAATATTAAGCGTAAGGCTGTTCACTCTCTTCGAAGTTTTTCATAAATTTTACGAAAAAAATCTACTATATACTTTTATATAATCAAACTTGATTATAAAATTATTTCATTAGATAAGGATTAATATCACGATGTGAATGTCATAATTTTTAATACTACGCGTAACTGTTTTAATTTGAAAAAAAAAATGGTTATTTTAAGTGTAATAGATGAGTTACATATACAGACTCGCGGATTTTTTGTGGGCAGTGATAAGTACTATAAACATGTAGTACATTATTTTATCAGAAAATTATTATGAATAGTTTTCACAGCGCCCGCCAAATAAAGCTGAATTTTGCTACTTAAATAATTTGAATGATGGCGGTCTTCCAACGTGCGTTTTTTAAGGCACTTTCTTCTACGTACAACCACTTTTTAGAGGGGGGAAAGGGATTGTAAGTAATGGAGGCTGAGAATCCCATTGCTAGCAATATACCCACCCAGGTCGACCTCCTCGCGGTTCTCCCTGAAAACTATCATGGTTAATTCCTGATAAATTCATCATGACGGGCTAATCGGCCTGTATTCATTCTCATCTATCACCCTTCACTGGAGCTCCGCAAGCGTATACCGTCAGCGCAGACGGGATTACCATACCATTTTCACCCATAAAAAAAAAACACTTTTTAGAATCAACTTCCAGCAGCAGTATTTTCGCACCGATACATCATAGCCTTCAAGAAAAGAGCATATTCCTTTTTAAAAGGCCGGCAGCACACTTGTAATGCTTCTGGTGTTGCGAGTGATCATGGGCGGCGATAGTCACTTACCATCAGGTGAGCCGCATGCTCTTTTGCACCGTGTATTATAAAAAAAAGTTTAGAGACTGCGGATTTCGTAGAAAAATAAAGAAGGTGCAGGAGCCCTAAGATTTCTGCGTTGACGATCCGGGTACACTTTTAACAGAGACCGGTAGAAAGGTATGTTTGCAGATAAATATGACTTGGTTGAGGAGGCGGTCCAGCTTATCGAGAAGATCTTCATTGAGATCTGGCTAACATGCATCAGCATAATCAATAATAGCGAAAATTACGTGTGTGAACAAAACTAATTTTTGTAGCGGTAGGCGGAAAGTTCCTAAAGCGGTATAAGGTGCGTAGAATAGCAACAACCAACTGAGTTGTGATCTATGTAAAAGCCGACATCTTTAACGCTAGCTTTCATTGATTGGCGCCATTCTAAATTCAACTAATTGTCTGGAATTGCCGCTTATATGAGCTGACACTTGGAAGACTGTAAACACGTAAACTGATTGGGGTAATTCTCTTTCATCTATTAAAAGGATATATTTACTTACAGATTGGTCCCATAGAAATTTTATCAAAATCGGTTCAGTAATTTAGTTTTTAAATGAAACTAACTGATTTTGTTACAATTAAACTTTGTTGAATACAATATTTTATTATTAGTTATTTAATACAGAGGTGGCGAGTAGAGCTTTCAATTAAAAATTCCCTTATTACCCGACTATCGAAAGATGGTGAACGTTTTATGGATATGTATATACTTATATCTAGCATGCAACTCGTAACCTACACGAACGGTTCAATGAGTTTGAATATGTAGAGCAGATGTTCCTACGCGTACACGGACGACTTCAAAAACGAAGACGTTCTCAATTTGGTTCTATTTTTTTTTTATGTTTGTTACCTCACAACTCTGCCAGTTCTAAACCAACTTTGTAAAATCATTACCTGAAACTTATACTTACAGATTGGTCTCATAGGAATTATATCAAAATCGGTTTAATAGTTAACTTTTTAAAATTAAAATAACTGGTTTTGTCACATACGTAATCTGTTTTTTTTTTCGCTGTGGGATAAAGTTTAATTTTACTTTTGTTAATTTACATTTCTAATATTCGTACGGATTTCTTATTTGATCACACTTTACACAGCTGAATGATTGGAAATAACATATCATAAAGATCACAACAGTTGTCAATTATTGTAGTATGAAGATCTCAAAGGTGAATCTTTTTTAATGGGTGATAATGGAATGGTAACCCCACCCGCACTATCGGTATACACCGGCGGGACACCAGTGAAGGATGATAGATGAGGATGAAGTAGGTCAGTTAGTCCATCGTGACGAATTCAACAAGAATTGTTCACGATGGTTTCCAGGGGGAACCACGTGGAGGTCGACCTAATAGGGCATATTGCTAGCAATGGGGCTGTCAAACTCCATTACTAACAATCCCTTTCCCCCCTCTATAACTAAGTTATCAAGCGTGCGTTGTTTACAAGAGGTCAAACGACAAACAGAGAAATAAAACTAGCATCGAACAACTTCATAAAATAAGTGCTTTATTGATTAATATTAGTAGGTAATAGAATAGGTACATAATTTTAATGTATCTCGGGTGTTAGCTATTACGCGCTGTGATCCGTGGCGGCGTTACCCACTAAATTATTTACACAATTTAGGACAAAGGTAAACAAAAACATTCTAATTGGCTTAAAAATTTTATTAATAGATTAAACCAAGCTTCTCAGAGGCAATTCAGTAATTCAATGTTAGGACAGTAATACTGAAATCACCGTTCCGCTATGCGCGCACTCTAATGTAACAAGCCTCGGTCGCTCTGCAAACTAGTGTGGAACTATAATGATAGGAAGTCGAGTTCGGGCGCACCTCTCACCTCTCCGCCTGCTGAACACGGCCAGTGCGGCGCGTCTCTCGTCCGCACGGCGCCGGCGAGCTACTACGACGGTTCAGCAGCAGCTCGTAGGTCGGCGCAGACCAACCATATGGAGGCGAAGAGATTGGCAACGCACGAACTTCTCGTCAATGCTTCACACCTACAACTCCATCGCTAGTTACGTTACACCAATATGAGTCTTGTGCTCAAGAAGCTAAAGTCGATTTTCATGATAACAAATTACGCATCCTCAGAACCGTCTGCGCACATCCTTACCTACCCATCGTAATTCTGATTATTATTTGATTTTCACCAAAGTTATATGAATAAAAATAGTGCTCGCCCTTGCTTGCTGAGAACATGTCATTTTTCTAAAACGTTCAATAAGTACAAGTGCACACCGGCCCGCAGCCGACGAGCCGCACAGCACTTAGTAAAACCAGTACCTAAACTGCAAATTTTGTAAACCCCTAGAGACGCCGAGGCAAACAATGCGCCCTGCTCACGCGCGTGCGCACTAAGCAATGCAGCACAGATCTATACATGTAGAGAATTATTTTGCAAATCAATCATTTGTATATACAACAATATAAACCAAAATTATGTAATAAATATTATAACCTTATACTCTCTGTACACTGTCGTAAACAACTTTTATAGACTCTTTTTTTTTATATTAATATTGTTAAACTTTTGTTTTCCAAGTTCCATGAAAGTCACATTCTATGCTAGTCGAATAAAACAAAAAGCACTAACATGTCTTATACTACATCTAGCGAATACAGATTCAAAGCCATTAATATAAATTTACTTGGTTTGAGTCCGACATGTAGCGTTTGAACATTCGTTTGGTGGTAACGGATACCCGGTGTGAACAACTACAAGTGATTAGTAACAATTGCAGGAGGATAGTACGAATAAAACAATTATTTATGCACCTCATAAACGTTCACACTTATTCCTTTGCCGAAATATTTAAAAAAAAATTATTGTCTATGCGAGACCACAGATTGTAGTGAAGTGTTTAAAAGCGTTACTGTGAAGGCTGTGACCATGATGAGATATACTTATTTGTACTGTCGGAACAACGATACAATTAGATGAGTCCAATAGCATTTTGTCCCGCGTTCCAGGCTCTATTTTTTTTTTTTTTTTGTATAGAATACTTACTATACATTATATAAAGATCAGCAAATACGAGTATCAGCTAGTGTCGCAGTAAACATTCCAAGTGAACACCACAGGGGCAACGGCCGACGTCATACATCGGCTCGTTGCCGTATTGGTCGCGCTCGAGAAGCTCTCGCCTGACTGCAGTTTGCAAAGTGAACACCAAATTGATGCCAATAAACCAGAACTTGTCTTTTGTTGTCTTGTACTTATACTTTATGTAGTGTTGTGTAAAAAAAATTAATACATTAATAACAGGCTGAAAATAAAAATAATGAAAAGAAAGAATGCTTTTGTATAAGCCTACCTAAGTATATATTGTTTGATCATTACCTCACAGACTAGAGTGCGAATGAGACGGAAGACACGCGAAAGGAAGTTCCCGGCGCTATCCCTGGTGCGGAGCTTGTCGAGCGCGACAGTAGCTGAGCGTGAATAGTGTTCGATACATAAGCGCGTAGTTTTCCCTACTCAATTATAAAATATAATAATATTATTGCAATTCAATAAGTTGTATAAATAAATTCAACTATAAGTAAAATGACCCCCGAATTCGTAATAGTGAGCAACATGACAATTAACTAAACTCAAATATCCGTCATAATATTAAATTAATATTATTCCTTTCGTTTCGTTTATTTTGTTAAACTTATTGATGGTCGGTAATCGGTTAGGTGGCCGGTAGTGCGGAGTGGTGGGCGGCGCCGCGGTCACTCCTCGTCGCTGTCGGCGTCGCTGGAGAAGTCCGCGGCGGCCGCCAGCCGCGGCGGGAACGGCCCGCGCGTCTGCTGCCTGCGGACACATCCACACTTCATATATATACTATACGGCGGTGCATGATTATTTTTTCGCAATTTTTGGGCAAAAGTTTTTCTAATTTTAGAACGAAATTTTGGAGAAATTTCTGAGAATAGAAAAATGGGCTTGGAGAAATTTACACGATTACAGTAGAAAATATGATTGAAGGTACGTAACGGAAAAAAGTACTCGTAGAGAGAGAAAAGTAGAAAGAAAAGAAATGACCTATCTTCGTGATGATTATGTTTGTGTATTGGTGCATGTGTATGTATATATTTATTTTTGAATGTATATATCTGTTGCGTATGTGTAAAAATATTATTGTGACTTTTGATGATGACTGATGAACGGTTGCCTGCCTATTGGATTTGTTTATTTTTAACAATTATCAACTACATAATCTACAGAATTTAATTTAGAAAAACCTGTTATTGGCCACACTACTTTGTTATAAAATGTTTGTTAATTATATTTGTAAACCACTGTTGGTTTTTTAAAATAAATTAATTAATATTGTGGCATATGGCAATGAAAAATTATTCTACTTTGTGACAAGTGTAAAAATCCTGAAAATTATGTTGATTTGGAGAAAAAATATGTGATGTTTGAGTAAAAATCTAAATTCGCAACTGGCACAACCCTGTGCTCATTTGTAGTCGGCCAATCACGTTTGTAGTGTGTGCGGGTGGGTAGGTGTATACTGACGCGAGGCGGCGGTAGTGGTTGAGCCACTCCTCGAGCATCTGCGCCTGCAGCAGCGGGCGCGCGTGCAGCTGCTGCCGCGCGGCCAGCAGCCCGTCGCTCGTCACGCACGCCGACAGCCAGCGCCGCATCACGTCCTCCGCGTTCTCCATCTGCGGCAAACGCTCGCGTCACGCGCCGCCGCCACACACTCGCCACGCTCACCACACTACTCGTCACGTCAAATACACGCATACCGACAGCCAGCGCCGCATCACGTCCTCCGCGTTCTCCATCTGCGGCACACGCTCGCGTCACGCGCCGCCGCCACACACTCGCCACGCTCTCCACTCGTCACGTCAAATACACGCATACCGACAGCCAGCGCCGCATCACGTCCTCCGCGTTCTCCATCTGCGGCACACCCTAGCGGCACGCCCCGCCGCCACACACTCGCCACGCTCACCACACTACTCGTCACGTCAAATACACGCATACCGACAGCCAGCGCCGCATCACGTCCTCCGCGTTCTCCATCTGCGGCACACGCTCGCGTCACGCGCCGCCGCCACACACTCGCCACGCTCACCACACTACTCGTCACGTCAAATACACGCATACCGACAGCCAGCGCCGCATCACGTCCTCCGCGTTCTCCATCTGCGGCACACGCTCGCGTCACGCGCCGCCGCCACACACTCGCCACGCTCACCACACTACTCGTCACGTCAAATACACGCATACCGACAGCCAGCGCCGCATCACGTCCTCCGCGTTCTCCATCTGCGGCACACGCTCGCGTCACGCGCCGCCGCCACACACTCGCCACGCTCGACACGCTCACCACGCTCACCACACTACTCGTCACGTCAAATACACGCTCACCACACTCACCACTAACACACATTGCTCATTGTCACCTACATCTTACCCTTTCTATACATAAATAAAAACCAAAAATGGCAAAGATGTTCTATAATCGAACTTAAACTGCTAAAAGATAAAAAATAATTTGAGCTAAACATCATAATTATTGCGTAAATCAATGCTCTTCGTCGCCCTTTTAACGCTGTAGTGGTAGTGGTATTGGTTACTCCTTATATTCATTCATTCATTTCAGCCACTATCCGTCTATTGCTGGACATAAGCTTCCCTCCTCCCTCCTCATAGACTGCCATAAACAACGGTCTTGAACCATGCATCCATCGACTCCCTGCAACACATTTCAGGTCGTCACTCCATCTAGGGGGGGGGGGGGGGGGTCGTCCTACACTGCGTTTACCGGTACGTAGTCGCCATTCAAGAACCTTCCTCCTCTATCGGTTATCGCTTCTTCGAGCTATGTAACCAGCACATTGTCACTTCACATTTCTCATATAGCTACTGGTAATCACCTCGTATTCGTATACGAAGGAGTACCGTCTATTCCGTACGTGGCTGGACGTGGACATGAAGCACTCACCTCGTCGCATGTCAAGAAATGTACCGGCAACAACTTGCCCTGGGAGTCGGTGAGCGGCAGGTACGTTATGTCCTCGTGCTCCTCTTGCTGATCACTGCAATTAAATGTTACAAAATACCATTACACGATTGTCTTCTTGTCTCTTAAAAAAAAAAAAAAAAAATTAAATGCAGTAAATATTAATGAGAAGTGATACAAAAGGCGGCCTTATCTTATTTTAGTATATTTGTTTGCTACCTCTGTGCCATATAGTTAAGAGTAATCCCATCTAAAGGTTGCCTGGAAGAGATCGCTCTTAGCGACAAGGTCGCCCATTGTTTTCTCATTGTGATTATTTCTTGTAATTGTTTATACTTGTATTTAAATAAGTTTACTATTGTAATCTATTTTGGAATATTTAATAAGATAATGTTGAAACATATATATATATATATATATTTTTACTCAACTTAGAATGGCAATCAAGCTGACGGCCCACCTGATGGAAAGTGGTAACCGTCGCCTGTAGACATGAGCAGTACCATGGACATAACAGAGTATACTGTTTCGCCCATGATACCCTCTATGCGTTGCCATTCGTGAACACTCAGGTGTTATTCCACTGTACTCAGTAAATTCACGCCATATCCCACCCTTCAAACCGAAACACAGGCATGCAAACACAACTGCTTCACGGTTGAAACAAACAAAATATAATTGGTGAGCTACAGTATGCAGGTACCGGCAGATGTAGTGGTGGCGCGGCGAGTAGGGCTCCATGGGCACGAGCGCGGAGAAGTGTCCGCGCGTGTAGCCCAGGCACAGCGGCGACTTCGAGCACGCCTCGGGCTCCCACAGCAGCGGCAGGTACACGCCTGCCACACGCACACCGCACACCGCGTTACATACCTCGTGCAAACTGATAGCCCTCGCCTACTACTTAATGCGCCTTAAAATTATTTTTGAACGAAAATATTTGAAGGTAAAAATATTTCATTCAATCTGGCAAAAAAGACTTTCAAAATATTTGAGATTGTTACTTATAAAAAATAAATTAAAGTTCAATGTTAAATAAAATCTAAAACAAACTAGATCACCCTTCCTTAAACATGGTCTATTTTGGTCAAACTTGACCTGAGATTAATTATACTAAACTGGATTTGAGTGATCAAACTGAATCAAACTTAACCAAATTTGGCTAAATTGGATTAAAATCGGCTAATCAAATTCGATTTCAATTAAAAACTAAGGCAAACGAATCTTGATTTGACCCACTAAACCAAATTTTAACAAATTGGAGTATACTTAATTAAATTTATTTTTCTCAAACATGCTTGGAAATTTGAGCATTATTTTGACAACCTTCTTCGAGATAAATCGAACTTGCGGTACTGGTCGAGCAGCGGCCGGCAATAGTTGTATGAAAATCCATATCTGTCGTGTTTAGCGGCCAAATAAATTACTATGTAAAATCATATTTGTCGTGTAATTTAAAAATGGAACGATCTTCTACTCCGCAACATGGCGATCAAAGAGGTAACTTATCAAAGGTTTAATTTAAATTTCGAACTGGCTTGCACATAGAAAGCTGTTTAGTGAAAAAAAAAAAAAATACTTTGGCGCGTAAAAAACTATTGTTATTAGTTGTTCATCAACTTCGTCATTGGTTTTAAATACTTTTGTATTTGACAAAATGAGTTCAAGTGAAGACAATGAGTGTAATGAGTGCAAGAGTCGTAGTAGAAAACTTGTTGCCGCCAAAATGTAAAGAAAAATATTTGAAAATCTATGAAAATTTTGTTCAATGGAAGAATGAAAGAAAATCGAAATCCTTATCCGAAAATGTTTTTCTGGCTTATTTCGGCGAACTCGCCAAGAAAGTGAAGCCTACAACGCTTTGGGTCATTTATTCAATGCTAAAATGCACAATTTTAATGAAACATTACGTGAATTTGAATAATTTCCGCGCATTATTTGAGAAAAGTACTATACTAGCCTTGGCCGCAACTACGCATTGATGGACTCACGTATGTGTGCCTCGGGTTCCCCTCGGCCCACATTCACACGTTCGTCCATCAATGCCTCTCTTGCCGGCCGCTGCAGTAATGTACTATAAATACATATGTATGGCTAACATGTGACAGTATGGCTAAGTTTAGTCAAGTTTTATCGGATTGGGCAAAATTTGATCAGTTTAGTCATGTTTCAACGAATTTAGCTAAGTTTGGTCAAGTTTAGCTAAATTAGGTTAAGTCTAGACAAATTATGTTAAATTTAATGAAGCGTTGTTAAGTTTGGTTTGGACCTAATTTGGCTTTGTTTAGTTTCGGTCAGGTTTTGTGTGCATACCCCTGAAGCGCGCGTAGCCGAGCGCGTCGCCGCGGTGCGAGGCGACCAGGTCGACGCCGAGCACGAGCAGCGGGCGGCGCAGCAGGTGCGCGAGCGCGAACACGTGCAGCTGGCGCAGCGCGGCGCCGGGGCGCGCGGCGGCGGCGGCCAGGCGCGCCCACTCGGCGCGCAGCTGCGCCTCGTCGGGCGCGTACTGCAGCCGCGCCGCCTGCGCGCGCTCCCACGCCGCCCACCGCTCGTACAGCCCGCCCCACCCGCCAGCACCGCCCGCCAGCAGCGCCGCCAGCGCGCCGCGCAGCGAGTGCTGCCGGTCCGCCACGCCGTACGCCGCCTGGCTCACCGCGTCCGGCAGGCAGTCGCCCGCCGACCGGTTCCACAGCGCGTACAGCCGCGACCCCAGCCGCTCCGTCAGCTCGCCACTCCAGTTGATCACCGCCGGCTCCGCCTCCAGCGTCTGCTGCGCCTCCCGGTCCAGCACCTCCGAGAACAGCTGCTCCTGGATCGCCGCCGGCAGCTCCTCGATCTCTGCGGGGCCACCGCCACATATCACTACTTTACAACTCTTTTTAACCTCGAAAAATGAAAGAGTGCGCCTAGAAATAGAAACGCAAGATACCAGAATAAGGAAAACTCGACACCCTCCACGAGTTACGACTATAACATGTCTCCAAACCTAACCTTCATACGACTTTCGTGCAACTCATGTCATAATACAATTTCATTCCGAAATCATACCCAAAGACAAAGAGTAATGTTATAACATACATTCTCGTTGACGACTTCGAGCGTAGTGCTCTCAATCGTAACCGGTATAGATGTGACATGGACGTTAAACATAATTTTAGTCTTATCCAAGTTCATGTCCTACTTGTTCAGAAGCACCATTGAGGTCATTAAGCATACTATTTCAATCCTCCAGGAATTCCGCCATGACTAACTACATCATCAATAAATCAAATGCAAATGATGTATTCTCTCCTTTGATATTTGTTCCATATCTTTTCCAGTTCAAAACTTTAAAAACATCCTCCAATAGAGCTATGAAGAGTTTCAGCGATATAAAAAGAAAATCAGTAACTCGTACCTGCAGGCAAAGAGAAAGTGCAGAACTCGTTGATATACCGGCACGGAAAGCTGCCCTTCTTCACCCGGATACAGCTCGCCATGTGTCGCCGTATCGCCGACGCCAAATCTGGCGCTGAATACGTTCAGTATTTTATTAATATTCAGTACTATTTAGTCCTTCACTCTAATTACGCTGAATGTAATAAACTACTACTTACCTATATACGATGGAGATCTTTTTAGGCCAGAGCCACCCCCTGATATTCGAGACAGTAAACTTGCTAAAATTTCTTGTCTTTGAAATCTGAAATTTATTTAATTATTTATTTATAGGACGAGATATTGTACCAAACATATTGTAACAAACATTAAATATAATGCAATATTAATGTGCACGTGCTTGTTCAAGGTATTTATAGCATGTACTTTAACATAAATATACAGTATGGAAAGAAATAGAACAATTTGAAGGAATTAAATTAAAATAAAGAATTACAACTAATAATAGTAGTAATAGAGCTCCGACTAAATTATTTTTGTCAAATTTGAACTCTGCACTTTACCAAAAAATTTATTATTTTATGATAATAAAGTTATACCATAACACTGCAAAATATATAAGGTGTTTCCAAATTATCTGCATTCCCTTTAAGGGAATATAGTACATATTATACACATACGTTTCCATAATGATAGAATTTCGTATCTCAAATTTTATAAAATTTTTCATACAAAAAAAATCTTAATAAATGTAGATTTTTCACCCTGTGTAAAAAGTACTTTTTAAAAAAGCGACGTGGCCACTTTTTTCACAACTGCAATAGTGTTTGAGCGTGTGGCCCGCGTCGAAGGCGGAGGCGCGGTCGAGCAGCGGCAGCTCGTGTATGTGTGTGTGTGTGTGTGTGTGTGTGTGTGTGTGTGTGTGTGTGTGTGTGTGTGTGTGT